AAGTGCATATAATAATACGTTGCAATAGAGTTTCCGATCTCAAAATTGTTTACTCTCTAAAAAAAAGTCTCAAAGTTATTTTTTTGTTTGTTATTTTAATAATAGTTTATGTTAGTAAGTAGATACTGAATAGGTGTTAAGTAAAATATCGTTTATGATTAATTGTGAGTATATAACTTTAAGTGTTTCATATAAGATATTAAATTTGTATGGGAAACTTTATTGTATTAGTATATAGGTATGTGTAAGTGTTAAGTTTTAATTTAATTATAATTAGGTAATAAGTAATTACTAAAAGATGTAGTAAGACTGATGGCTACACTATCGTATTGGAATGTATCTGTAATGTTAGTTGTTAGTGCATTAAATAAATATGTCGCAGAATCAACAAAGATGCACAACTATCGAGTATCGTTATTTTAGAACAACGCCATCTGTTATCATTTGTCGGAAACGTCAAGCAGTGTGCTTGGGTGATGGTCGGTACGGGGCGTGGCTTGTTGACATTTGACAGGCGTCACTTTTGGGTTGGACACGAGGGTGAGCGGTTGTTCTGCCAGCCCGTACCGAACTTACCGCGTTTACGAAGAATCTGATGACGAAGTACCCCCAATTTGTGTATTTTCTCCGACAAATAAATAAATAAACTGTAGAGCGGATTTTAAAACGTGATTTGAAATTCCATCCCTATAAAATACAGATAGTGCAGGAAATAAATGAAAATGACTACAATTTACGTAAAAGTTTTTGCCAGACAATCGTTGAGAGATTTCGCACTTTGAATACTGTGTTTTGGAGTGATGAACCACATTTCCATTTGAATGGATATGTTAACAAACAAAATTGTCGCTTTTAGTCAGAAGTCAATCCCAGACAAAAACATCAAAGATCGCTGCATAGCCCAAAAGTGACAGTGTGGTGTGCTCTTTCGGTCAATGGAATAATCGGGCCGTATTTTTTTGAAAATGCGACAGGTGCTGCGATAACTGTTTCTGGTGAGGCTTATCGGCAAATGATATCCAATTATTTTATACCCCAACTTCGAGAGCATCCAGCCTACAGCTCAAGAACGTGGTTTCAGCAGGATGGAGCCACTTGCCACACTGCAAGAGCCATTATGGACCAACTTCGTGAATTGTTTTCTCAAAAATTGATATCCCGCTTTGGTGATATTGCGTGGCCTCCGCGATCACCAGATTTGACCCCCATGGACTTTTTCCTATGGAGGTACCTTAAGAGTAAAGTTTACGTCAATACTCCGAGGAATATCGCTGAGCTAAAACAAAATATCCAACAAGAAATACGCGACATCGACATGGCTATGCTCAGGCGCGTTATGCAAAATGCGATGGATCGATTCCGTGAGTGAGTGCTACGAAATGGAAGACTTCTGGAAGATGTAATCTTTAAAAAATAAAATGCGCATTATATTTCAATAGTTTTCAATAAAAATCTTTTCACAAAAATATGCAAATTGACTTTTATTTCATTTCAAAATCCTAACTCTGCCGTGAGACACACCCTGTATTAATGCTCAAAGTTTTCCTGGACACTATTCCTGCCTTCTGGCTACCTTTAGCAATGTGCATCTCGACGTCCTAATGATTTCCGAGTCATTTCTTAAACATTCCCTCTTATCCACGCACTATGCCCTCCCTAGCTTTGTTTTGGTCCGCAATGACAGGACGGGTCGGTGTGGGGGCGGGGTTGCCATGTACATACGGTGTGATTTATCACACCGTGTGGTCAGCTCGTCCTCTCCTCTATATTCTAAGTCAGTTCAGTATATGTTCGTCGAGATATCCATGTATCTTAACAAGATCTTAATAGCCGTCTTAGGTATATAGTCCCAACCTACACATTAACTATTTTGATAATCTCGACAAACAACTCAATAACCTATGCCTTAATTATCAGCATGTTATTATCATGGGAGATTTTAATACTTGCCTCCTCAAAAAGATTCACGTGCACATAAACTCGAATCACTATTGTCATCTTTTAACCTGCATCTACTTCCCCTTTCGGCTACTAACTATCCCCCCAACTCGTCTCCTTCCTTGCTCGATCTCATGATCGTGTCGTTCCCTGGACATGTAGATGGCCACGGTCAACTGACTGCTCCTTTCTCCTATCATGACCTTATTTATGTATCTTATCGCATTCGTACTCCTAAACCTAAACCTCGTTACTTGAATCTACGTAGTTACGGACGGCTGGATCTGGGGGCGTTACGGCACGATGTCAACCTGACTGACTGGAGTTCTGTGGTTGATGCCTATGATGTCGATGTGAAAGTTAACCTGTTTAACGCGATAATTGTCGACCTGTTTGATAGACATGCACCTTTGCGCCGCGTGAGGGTTAGGCACGATCCAGCACCTTGGATCACTTCTGACATTACAGAGGCAATGGCTTGTAGAGACAGGGCCAAGCGGAGGTGGAAACGTAGGTCTACAGATGAAAATCTTTTCTCTTATAAAAATCTTCGTAATTGCTATCGCTGCAGTGGTCTGTGTAGGCCTGTAGGAATGCTACGAGGCGTTACTTCGATGACAACCTGGCTAACCACAACGCTGCTGATGCCTGGAAGTTCTTGCGATCTGTGGGCATCGGCAAATCTCCTATCAATGTCAGTAAGGATGTTGAGCTTATCTCCTTGAATCATCATTTCTCCCACTCCCCTATTTTACTTGACCACCTTACAAAAACTAAAACTCTTCTCAACCTTTCCTCTCTACCGCTTCCCAGTTCCCTCTTGTTCTCCTTTTGTGCTCTGTAGTGTGTCCGAGGACGATGTAAAAAAGCCATGCTTGCCACTAACTCCTCTGCAGTGGGTAGTGAAGATTTATGCTCCCGTATGTTTATCCCCATTCTTGACCTCCTTCTTCCTATTCTTACTCACATTTTCAATATTTCTTTATTCTCTTGCTCTTTTCCTTCTGCTTGGAAAACTATCCACGTTATTCCGTTACCAAAAACCAATAACCCTTCTACCCTTTCACATTATAGACCTATTTCCATACTGCCTTTTCTCTCCAAGGTCATGGAACATATTATCCATAAGCAGTTGACTTCCTACCTGTCGTCAAACTGCCTCATCTCTCCCTTTCAATCAGGATTCCGCTCTGGCCACAGCACGGTCACAGCTTTACTCAAAGTGACCGGTGACATTCGCTGGGCTATGGAGAACCAATCTCTCACTGTTCTTGTATTGTTAGACTTCAGTTCTGCCTTCAACTCCGTGGACTTTGACAAGCGATAAGGCCGCCCATTGTACAACATGCCAAAACTATTTTTTTTTTTTACCTACCTACTATTTTCTTTTTCGTGTCTTTTGTAAGTGGTGTACAATAAAGTGTTTATTATTATTATCCTGCTGGGGGTCCTGAAGGCCAACAATTTCTCTTCTTCCTCTCTGGCCTGAGTTTGAGTCTTATCTTCGGAGTCGCCGCCAGAGGGTCCGCCTTGAAGAAACTTTTTCTAATTGGTGTGACCTTGCTGCTGGGGTACCCCAGGGTGGCGTCCTTTCTCCTGTTCTTTTCTCCATCTTTATTAATACCGTTGCCAAGGTCATTTCATCCAATTTCCATCTATATGCGGACGATTTGTAGCTATATCACAGATTATCTACAATTTCCTTTGGCAACCATCTTCGACATATACATCACACTTAAAGTTTATTTGTTTGAATGTATGTCCGTCTCAATCACGCTGAAACTACTCAACGGATTTTGATGTAATTTGGTATACAGGCTGACTTAGGTGATAGGATATAGGAATTTTATTCCCATTTATATACGCTCCCATGGGATAAAACAGGATATTCTACGCATACGAAGTCGCAGGCAACAGCTAGTCTATACTAATATTATAAAGAGAAAAGATTTGTACCTATTTTTGTATGTTTGTAATGAATAGGCTCAAAAAGTACTGAGCCAATTTAAAAAAATCTTTCACCAATAGAATGCTACATTCTTCCAATTTGATATAGGCTACAATTCATTTTGAAAAAAGGGGGATTCTTGGCAAAATTTGAACAATGTAACCGAAGGTATAGTAAAATGAGTCTTAAAATGTCTTTCGTCGAATGCGCTGCCGAAACTATTAGCGATAGAACAAAATAATGTACAACAATATTGAAGAACATCATAATGTCTACAAAAAACTCCGCGATAGCATATGTCCAACTATTGTAGTTATGTCACTACAACAATCCAAATTTGTAAAAATAAATAATTGTCTACCCTGTGCGAAGCCGGGACGGGCTGCTAGTAGTACATAAATACAGGGTGTAAACGCAACGCTCCCGAACCGCTGACAAAAAGAAATACCTACGCTTATTTATGTTTGTTTTACTTCGACGTTCATTATCCATTTTTTATATTATGCCAGGAGTGATCCCATGATGCGGAAATCGGATTCTGATAAAAGAATCTTAGTTCTAGTGAACTTGTCAATTAAATCAATACTAACATTAGGCTCAGCTGTAGGTACTACTGACACGTCATGTTTGTTTGAAATAAATTATTTGAATTTATCGAAAGTTCATTTGTTTTACATTAAGTATTGTATTAAAATTTCATGAAAGTTAGGAATCTATTTGTGATGGTGCTGAAAGACAGCCGGAGGAACACCTTAACGATATACTACAGGGTTAGAAAGCAAAAATGATTAATCGCTATTGTATTTCTCGTTCTTATACTATACTAGCTTTTACCCGCGGCTTCGCTCGCGTCACAAAAGGATGAAAGTAGCCTATGTGACATATACCAATACACACAGCGCCATCTATACTAATACTTTTGTTTTCCCTTGGGAATATCAAATTTTTCCGGGATAAAAAGTACTCTATTATTTAATCCGGACTTCTAACTTTACTTCTGCAAAAATTCAAAGCAATCGGTTAAGTAGTTACGGCGTGAAAGCGGAACAAACAAACAAACTCACTTTCCGATTTATAATATTATATAGTAAGGATGTAAGCTTGTTTTGTGCAGTGCACTGGTGCGGCTGCGAGGCGTGCGGGCACGGCTGCGGCGAGGCGCGCGGCGCGGACTGCGCCCGCGACCAGGCGCCGGGCGGGGACGACCTGTGGCGCGTGGCGCTGGCCGAGTGCGCGGCCACCTCGCTGCTGGTGCTGCTGACGTGCACCGCCACCTGCGCGCCCTCCGCCGCCGCCTCGCCGCTACAGCGCTCGATCGCCTCCGGTTTTGTCGTCGCCTTGCTCGTACAGGTACACTCATAGGTACACATCATACAAATACGTTTTACGAACTTACGAACGCAGTCCTACGATCGCATCGCGGGTTTATTTACACACACATATAAATTCACCTATATGCACCTCATTCGACTCGTGTGTGCAGTGCCTGGCGCACGTGTCGGGAGCTCAGATGAACCCGACGGTGACGTTGGCGGCGCTAGTATGGGGCCGCATGTCGCGGCGGCGTGCGGCGTGCGAGATGCTGGCGCAGCTGGCGGGCGCGGTGCTTGGCGCCGCCGCACTGCGCGCGCTGCTGGGGCTGCGCGCCGCCGAGACCTGCGCTACCGTCCCCGTCGCATTCATCGGGCCCTTCCAGGCGAGTGGCCAACTTTCTAACAGCTAAGTTACAATAACGAAACAGATCACTTAATGATATATTTATCTCTAAAAGGTAATTGGTTCAAGGCGTCCGTCAAAAATAAGGATTCTCACCTGCCTTGGAGCTGGCTTCTATAGCTGGTTCAGGACCTGTATGACAGGCTCTCACTCTTTCATGTAAATTGATATAATTAAAGTAACTTTTATACCTAACTTGATCATTGTCGAACTAGCCTATGAGTAATTACATGATTATCTATTTTTCAGTCCTCTTCTATCAGCCGGTTACACTCTCTCTCTATCTCTCTGTCACTTGTATTGACAACAGAAGTGCATAGATACGCACCTAAGTACGTACCGAGTCCGACGTACATACTGAGATATTATGTATAATCTTTCCTTAACTAATATTGTCTAATACAGGTAGGTATATTTTTTAATGATATCTACCTAGTGATATTCTTGGAAATGGCGTAAATCACGGAACTATTTTCTTGAGCAAATACTGTGTGTTTTTCCACATACATAATCTATTACCTAACTGTTTTGTTTTAATGCAAAACAGTTTCATTTTTATGCAAAAAGAGTTAACTAATATTACTTCATTACATTTGGGATGTTTCTATGACTTTTGATACATAAAGTTACTAGAGTAGGTAAGTTGTAGTGATGATAAAATCGTGTTAAAATTCTTATAACGTTACATGTGGATTATTAATCTTTTAGATAATTAAATCAATGTTTTATAATGATTTTGTCACAACTCTTACAAACTTTAACATTCGCGTGCACTAGTGTATAGCTGCAGACGAGGATATTATGGAAAGTATGGCAGCATGGTGAAGATGTAAGTGGTGATGTTGCAGGCGGTGGCGCTGGAGGCGGCGCTGGGCGGCTGCCTGGCGCTGGCCAACTGCGCGGCGTGGGACGCGCGCACCGCCGCACTCAAGGACTCCTGGCCGCTGCGCATCGGTGTCTCCGTCGCCGGCCTGTCGCTCGTCGGCGTCAGTACCGTCGCCTCGCTTGCTGACAGTGTCGCACTGCTACACGAACTAACGTCGAGCTATGTGTTGCAGGGCGAGCTGACGGGCGCCAGCATGAACCCAGTGCGGAGCTTCGGCCCGGCGTTGTGGAGTTCCACCTGGACGAGTCACTGGGTAACACCAACTATATACGACTATCTCCTTCCGCACGGTTTCATTCGCCACTCGGCTCCTATAAATCGCAGCGTGATGTTGTAACATGTTCAATCAGTAGGACTCTTCATCTTTATTATATTCAATAAAACTGGCTACTCCCACGCGGTTTCACCCGCTCCTTGGCTCCTATTTTTTTCAAATCCATTGTCCTACAATAGAATTTTCTCCTGTGACGTGAGTGCGTTTACAAACATACAATTTCACATACGCATGACACCCAGACTGGAAATATCAATTTGTGGATCACACACTATCTATGTATCAGTCACACTCCGGTACGAATGAGCCGGCTCGACCAGATTTATACCACGGCCTCATAGTATACTGGCGTGAAACAACGCCTGTGTTATGATTTTCGTAAAATGCATTTTGAAACCATGTATACAATATCAACATCCTTTTCCTTCATCGACCATCATCATTTTACTGGTGTAGGCATTCTGTATCTCAATGAGTAATTGAAGTTAATTATTTTGACTTTGTTAAGTCGGCTTTCTTTGATATGTAAACTTAAAATATCAACCAATTACGCAATTATGTGCAAACATTTGTTGAGGGACTGTGTTACCGTGCGAGGTGCCCACGTGTCGAGCTGTGAAGTAACGCGGCGGGCTGGTGTTCCAGGTGTACTGGGTGGGCCCGCTCGGTGGGTCCGTGCTGTTCACGAGCGTGTACCTGCGCGCCTGGCGCCCCGCCGCCGCGGCGCCGCGCAAGCTGCCGGCGCAACCCTAGTCCGGCCGACGCCTGGCGCCCGACACGTCGACTCGCCGCGTCCGCGTCGCCCCCAAGCTGGTGCAGTTCTATTCTGCCTAGCGCCCCCGTGAGCGAATTTTGCATGTGCGGGTAAAATGTTAACTCAAAACATTGCTCCAAGGCGGAGGTGTTTCTGGGCGGAGCCCGTAGCTGTTGCCGTAGGCGTAGCCGTAGCCGCTGCTACGCCTGCTACGTGATTGTTACAGTATTGGTAGGCAATTACACCACACACGGTGTCCCGTTACTCGTTATGTTTGTGTGTTCTAGACTACTCAACTTTTGTATGCAACTTGTAAATGTACACAATAAGGCTCTGATGGAATTTTTCATCGATAGAAAGAAAGCAAGAAGAAACAAAAACCATTTACTTGACGATATTTGTCGATATGATATGTATGTTACTTCATATATGTCTTTTTAAAAACCATAGAATGCTGATTCATTTGGAGATTTCGAACATTAATTATCATGGCGCCTTCGATAGGATTCCTCTTGGATTGTAATTGTACCTACCTGTTGTAATTCTTACTGCAAATGTGGAGCTGAACATGTCCGGGGCAACCGCAGTTACGGACTTCGTTTTAATAAAAATGTTTAACAAATATACGCAAAGAATAGTTCTTTGAGATTGAAGATCAATAAAGTAACTCCAAATGAATCGGCCTTTATACCGTGGAGATATTAATGTGTTATAGTTTTAGTATTGCAATTATATCTTGCTTAAGTGCTACTAGATTTATTTATTTTTCGAAGTTATTGAACGAATTATTATTTAACCAATTGCTTATTTACCTATGACGTCACGGGGCAAGTACCCGCGTGGCTGACTGATTCGCTCGATGGCACGATTGGATTGAAATGAGTTTCATATTGTTACAAAATGCCACCGGATTACAATCTGTCGGCAAAATTATGAAATGTATATGTATCATACATATCAAACTGTTTCAGAATCAAAATCGAGTACATATTAAGTGTTGTGAATAGTATTTTAGGTAGTTCAGTGAATGGTTTATTCTGCATTGGCTCGCTCAGGGTGCAGCGTGCCTCACTGCAGATTACGCAATATACATGTGTAACATATGTATGTGTGATAAGGTTTATGGCTATTTTCATCAACCACCCCTTAACCATCTCTTAACTAACAGCTACTTAGCGTGACGGAGCATTTCAACTGACTCCGTACTTGACCTATTAGGGATTGGTGAAAACTAAAGTATCGTTTTGGTTTTCGGTATGAGGTTACTTACAACTGACTCTTATGGCAGATTCGGTTTCGTTATCCGCAATATGCGTGAATTTGATAATCCTAAAGCTATCAAACTTGTGTACATGGCCCTAGTTCGTACCAAACTGGAGACACCATCTATTGTATGGAATCCACATGAGAGTACAATACGCTTTATTGCTAGAGAAAGCGCCAAAACAATTTCTTGTATTTCTGTACAAAAAGTATTTGGTTACTATCCCTTCTTATGTCCCACCAAGTTTTTATTGGGCATGTACCTAAAGTTTAATGCTTTGGTAGTGAGGCGAATTTACTCTCTTATTATTTCTACCTGTAGTACTTTGCGAGGACAATCTGACTGTCCGGAGCTGGTGGCACAGGTGTGGTTCGGTTGTTTGTTGCCCCAGTGCTGAAGCATCAGCTTAGGCCACGTGGGCACCCCTTACTGGCTGTCCCGGTAACGCGAACAGTCGCGCATACAAATTCTTCGCAGCGAGATGGAAGGATAGTATGTCGTGAATGTATAAGACTTTTTGAGAGAATGGACGGCTGATAATTTAGTTTTAAGTTACCTATTATAATTATAGTAATTTTTATATAAGATACCTATTACATAAGTGTAAAGTAGTAAATAAGGATTTTTTTTATTGTTTAACTGTATAAAGTTTTGGCTTGTGCTGTAAAATTATGCATGTGCTTGTGAATAAATAAATAAATAAATCGTTGAATGTAACCTACCTTAGCTTAGAGATTGCTTAAATAATACAAGAGGTTGGTGAATTAAAAAAACAAAATACCCGACTGCACACTAAAAAAAGAGTAAAACAAGCCCCACAATAATATTGATCAATCAAATGCTAAAAACTAATTATGTAATACCGTTTAAACAATACCTATATTAAAATACACTACAATATGTGTTCGTAATCGATAGTTAAATAAACAGAAACTTATTTTGAATACAAATTTACTGAATATAATTTATAAATGTTGATGGAA